AAAGACAGAGATGTAAGAGCTGTGAATTTTGCCTTTGTTTCTCACCATTCTATTCTAGATTTAGATTTAAAGAAAGTACCACAGAGCCATTCATTGACTAAATGCCAATTTTTCAGAAGTGTCTGAATTTCCTCGCAACACTGACTCCTTTTCTCTTTCTTCCACACAGCTGGCTGACTTTTTCCTGTCCCTATCATGACTGCCTGACCCTATCTATCACTAGTTGCACATACTAACCCTGACCATCCCTAACACAAACAGCCAACCCTTGCTCCTTGCAGCAGAAGAGTCAACTGACTCCAGCCCTCAAACTCTGCTCTCAACTAGCTGAGCCACTCTTTTATAACCCATCCTTATTGGACCATCCTTATTGGACACACCTGTGCCCTGTTAAAGGCAAGGCTGTTCCTACTCTTTGCTAATTAGTACAGCTGCAACTCCTCAGGGGTGAAATTGCCTTCAGCACTACCTCTATTCTCTCACAATCCATCCTCCCACATATATCCTCCATAGGAAAATCAGACATTAGCAGCTCCTGGCTATTCTGTGCATCTCTAGCCTCAACACCAAACTGATGGTCTCTATCTGGAGCTCCAAGCTCACAAAGATGTCAAACGATTGCTCATAACTCTTATTTTATTGATGATGACTGTCAGGATGTCTGAACACTGGAGTAGTAAGACATCTATTGTGTTAAAGATTATCCTCTTCCAGGGAATAATTTTTTCAGTACATCAAAGACACCCTGGATTGGATGACTTTGTCTGCATGTGCTTGTTTGTGTGAAGGCATGACATTGCAAAAAGAGAGTAAGTACAATAAACAGAACAGAAGTATTTCAATTAAGGAAATAGAACAGCCTGAGTAAAAGAATACAGAAATGCTTTGAAGCAAAAACATTGAGAAGGGAATGAGAATTTTTAAAAAAAAAAAAATATAGAAAAGAACAGACTAAGATGTAAATCCATTAAAATTTTTTCTCACTGCAAAACTCAAAAAATAGAAGAGATTTCATTAAATGAGGCTTTCACTTTTATTGCAATGTATCTTTGTGTGTTCAGGCAATGCAATCCCTCCCTAAAATGTAAAATCCAGTAAGTAAAAAACACCATGAAGGTAATTTTTATCTTCTGTTCTGTATAAAACAAACTGAAGTCACCACTATGGAAATAAATAGAAACACTCTCTGAAGGTTTTTTTTTTTTTTTAACTTTATTTTTAATTGTTTTTATATTCTAATAATGAACATCGGTGCCATTGAAATACTTGCATTTCACACTACTCTGTTCAAAGATAAGGGAACTCATGGTCCTTGGGGCAAAAGTCTGTCATCAGCAGACTAAATAGGCCTTTTGCTGTTGAGTGTAATTTGAATTGCAGCAAATTCTTTCTTTGGCTAAGAACGTGTTTATTCCGACATAACTGCATCTGACGCCAAACATAACAATACTTCAACTGCTAATGTCACAGACCCCAAAAAGCTGCATGAAGGATTATGTGGTTCACCTCTGCTGACAGTCTTGCTGCTTACAGTTCCATTTTCAACAATACAGCCAATCTGACTAATGTAAAACTACCCTGATCCCATGAAATAATGTCCACCTGGCTTAAATACTTGTTTTCAGGTTTTCTGCTATGGGCACCTCACTGTGTACATTCAGGACTCAAACTCCTGTACACTCATACACAAGCTCTCATCTGGCTTCAGATGAAGCAGAAATAGGCCCCACACATGAACATCCAGACAGATCAATATGTATAACACCAGTCAAAAAATGTGATGACAAATTAGGAAACAAAACTAACTAATTACAGGCTCCCCCTTGAAAGTATTTTATTAGCTAACCATCAGGTGTCCTGTCTTTCAGTGCAAAGACATCTCAACCATTACCACCTTCTCAGAAGTCCAAGGCTTGCTGCTTTATGCAAGCTAAGAATCTGTGGAAGAGATGGACCATACAGAAGCCAGACGTTAGTGGTATTTTTAATAGTGTTTTGTTAGAATTTTTCTGGGCATTAAGTGGTTGGGTGAAGAATTTTAAACACCACAAATGCTTTATATGTATATGTATCTCACAAAATCTCTCAAATTCTGTATCAGCTATGTAGTACCTCCTAACTGTTTTGCCCATGGACAGATGTACCATGGTAGCAGACTTTACAATAACATTAGAGTTTTTCTCATGGCAAACTTTGATGATTGACTGCATGCTGCAGAATTGGATATTAGGTGCTTTAGACCTTTGGTTTTGTAGCATTTATCAGTTCTCACAAATTTCATTTAGAGCTTTGATCTTCATATCTTTCACAGTTTGCCTTTAGAGGCAGAATTTTTTAAGCTATTGGAATAATTCTCCTAAAAGAAAGATACATTTGTGACTGCAGTAAAAAACATGACAAGACTAACTTGAATTCATATAGATACAGAGTTTTCTTCTGTATTTTCTGTTGTATTCTTCTGATTCAGGAATCCCAGCCTTCTCTCTCTGATGCACCATTTTTTTTCCCCAGCGCCTCCAGAGGAGATATCTTTCATCATCACCATCTCTTACTTCCTCGAGGACTCCTCTGTGTTTCAACAACACTGTGGTAGCTGGTTTCTAGGGAACTTGTACTATGATCTGCTGTCACTCCTGACATTTGATATCTCTAATGGCCATACCTTTTCTATCTCTAGATTATTGATTTCATTATTCAGTAGTATTACTGGCAAGACAGACGTACACAAACAGTGGAAAGGAAAAAAGTATAGTAATTGTCTGAGTAGGAATTGTCTCTGATGTGTGCAAGTATCAGGGATGAAATGTACTGATACAGTTTAGGAAAGCATGGTGTTATTTAGAGGTCTGTGGGGAATAAAAAAAATAATCTCACACCTACCAATACACTACTGGCTGATGAACCCTTTTGAAATAAGAAAATCAACAAAAAAAAAAAAAAAGTAGAATATTTTATTCTTAGAGAGAATTTCTTTGAGGAAAGAATACTTCTCTTACTGACTACTCCTGATAAGAAGCACATATTTTCTGGATGCTCCTTGGGAAACTGTACAAGGTGACCTTAGAAATTGCTTAACATGATGGTAGGCTGTTTGTACCTTTATGAAGGTACGGTGGCATCCCACATAAATCACACTTGTGCAATATAAGAAACTTTAATTTCTCACGGGGCTCTGCCAGCAAATTTAGACTACTTTTAAAACACACTATCAGTCTGTTGTAGCCAGCAGTTTCCATAGAAAGGTGAAGTCTTTAAAACTTCTCTTTTTCCAGGAAAGACCTTCCACTTCAAGCAGTAAGGCCAGCAATGTGGGAAGCTCTCCTAGAACAAGAGAAGTAGGGAAAATGTTAATCATGCCCACTGTGTGTTAGAGCCATAGTGGGCTACTATCTATAGGTCAAAAATTTGCGTGAAAGTCTTCAAAACCATCAGTGTTAGGTGGGAAGATGGTCAAAAATGCTAAGAACAGCTGCTCAGGCCCAAAAAGGATTAATTCTGTTCTCTGTTGTGACTAACAGGAGAGTTGTGTTAATACGATGAAGTGGTTTGGCACGTCACTTCCACCTGGCAGATCCCTGTGCTCCACTTGCACATGCAGTGATTCACCAGCAGTGGGTGGTGAATTATGCAGCAGGCAAAAGAAGATGGGATGAAATCTTCAAAAGATAGGACAAAATCTTCTTTGACATCCTGAGCTCATCTGCTGAAGATGAAGATTATTTGTTCCTGGATGGCTCAATGAGTATTTTCACAATAGCCAAGTTAAATAAGGAACCTACCTGGATTTTTCAAAGGTTATTTTACAATATGACTGATCCAGTTGTTATCTTTGTGTGGTACAGTCTTTCACAGGCTAATTATACGGACATCTTTTCTGCAGTGCTGTGTTAGTATCAACTGTCAAAGTAGCACCTTGGCAAATGGGAAAGTCATTACATTTCTATGTCAGATTCTGCCACTTGTGCACCCAGGGACCCGTATGTCACTGAGTTCTGCCGTAGCTCTGTAATAGGACTATGATCAATGACTTTTCTTGCGCTAGAAGATAACAGCAGGTAAGAGTAGCAGAGTTCGTCTTTTCATGCTTTGTACTGTGACATACCCAACAGTTTTTAGGCTTTAAATATTGCTCACATAAGAAAATGCCCTGCTTTCTCACTGATTGTTCAGATAAAATTAAAACCACCCTTCAGATATTTTGCTCTGTAAGAACTGAACTCAGCTTAGCGAGGAAAACTGTTTTGGGGAAAACCATCACCTTCCACCTGTTCTAAAATAAAAATTAAAGGGTATTTGAGCAGCAGGGATAAAAACCTGCGGAGCTCTGCTCCAGCCGAAGCAAGGGGAGCTCTGATCAGCGTTCTGTAATTGCCTGTCTGTGCTCGCACCTCGCTATGTCCCGAGACTCGCAGCGCGTTTCACCTTTGCAAAACGCTGCGCCCTGAGCGCCGGCTGAGACACTGAGAGCATCCCCTGAGCACCGGCGAGCGCGGGGTGTATTTACCGTCTCGCTGTATTTCCATGGAAACTCTGATTGTCACACCGTGCAGCGCTGAAATACCGGGCTCCAGGGCTGCCTGGAGCGGCCTCCCGAAAATGCGCCCGCGCTGTAGCCCCAGCCCCAGCCCGCTCAGCCGAGCGGCAGCACCGACGGCGGCACCGCCGGTGCCGGGGCCCGGCCCTCGGCCGCGGCGAGCCCCGGGGCCCCGCGGCACCCGCAGAAGATGCGCCGCCAGCCCCGGGGGCTGCGCGCCCCCCTCCGCTCCCTCAGAGGCGCGCTCCGCCCGCCCGTGCCGGAGCCGTGAGTGCGGAGCGGAGCCGCCGCCTCGCCGCGCCCGCGCCGCCCCCGCCGCCCCTCCTCGCCCGGGGCGCCCGCAGCGGGACAGCGCGCAGGTAACGCGGGGCGGGCGCGGAGCCGCCGCGGCGGGCTCGGCTCGGCTCGGTTCGGCTCGGCTCGGCTCGGCTCGGCTCGGCTCGGCTCGGCTCAGGTCGGTTCTGCTCAGCTCGCCCTAGCTCAGCTCCTCTCCCCGCGCAGGGCGGCCGCGCAACTTTGCGCGGGGCCCCGCCCTGCCACAGGCACGCGGGGATGGGGGAGCGCATCAGCCCTTGGGGGTGGCGGTGTCGCGGCGGCCGCGGGGCGCCCGGGGCTCGGGCTGAGAGCGGGAGCGGGGTTTCGGACGCGGAGCGGTGCAGGGCGCTTCCCAAGGGAGGCATGGAAGGGCAAAAATAACAGTCGTTCCCGTTTTGGGGTGGTTTGGTGCTGTTGCGAGACAGGAGTTGCTGTGCTCCCTGGAAAAAAACATGTAGCCAGGCGTTTGAAGTTTTCTCTTCTGGCCATAGCATTTCCTTGGAGCTGGACATACAATCTTGTTAGTTGGCTTTGGCATAATTTCGGAAGTTGTGTTCTTGTTTTCCGAGATAATATTGCAGTTCTTTTGGTGATTTAGAGAAATAGGCACACCATTAATAAGTAAAAAAGTCTCTTTTTTTTTGACTTCTGAAGTAATTCAATCTGTTGGATTCTTCCAGGTTCTCAGGCTAGTTTTTGCTGTTGCACATTATGAACAAGAACATGAGAATCAGCAGCTTTTTAACCTTAGCTTGTATAGTGAATGCAACACTCCAGTGGTTTCAGATTTTGTCTCAGATGTTATCTCTCTCTGTATTGATGTGAGGGCATTATTTCTCAGGTTGTGACAACACAGCTCAGTGCTTTCCTAAAGCTTTGGTGGTCGTGCAGTAACAGCCACTCATATTAACTATTTACCTCTGTGTGGATGCTTAAAAACCTTCTCTGACTTTTTTGCTGCAGTCTTGATATTTCTCCAGTATTATGAGGGCAGAAAGATTGTACTTCTTACAAATTTACACAATGTGCTTCTTCCCTGTATGTTTTCACCATGGGGTTTGGGGCGGGGCGGCATTTGTTTTTTAGGATTTTTTGGTGGGGTTTTTATGGCTGTTTTTTTTCCCTTCTTTTAACATAGAGAAAAGTCATTTAAGACTTTTAAATCGTTCACAGCTATAAAGGTTAATTGCCCTGTTGCAAGGATTAAACTGACTGGACTGTACAAGAACCAGCCAGTCAGAAATAACTTAATAGGTATTAATATTGTGGGATATAAGCTCTTATCCATGAATAAACCTTAATATAAGTATCTCATCTAATTGAAGGAACATTTCTGGAAAAAAGTTACCTTTAGAGGATGATGGTTGCCTGCCTAACTTTTGTGTTCTTGAAAATTTCTCTTTAAATATATACAGACAGAAATATCCAGCTTTTTACGGTCCTAAATTATGATTTAGGGAATTTGTAATTTAAGCAACAGCTTTAAGTGAAAAATGATGTTAAGTATAAGGCGTTAAACATGTTAAATTAGCACAGGTTTTCTGGTGCCTCTAACTCAGCTAAATGCTAACTGCAACCATTTGACTTTTACAGTAAGTATTCGAATATGCCTTGGATCCTGCCACAAAACTACAGTCTCTACTGCCTTGTGCAGCCTAGCCTCCTGCTTCAAGCATTCCACTGAAACTAGAGACCTAGGCAAGCCCACACAGAGCTCAGGGGTATGAGCTCCCACAGGTGTAGCTGAGCACACTCAGGAATGTGCATTGTGCAGGCCAGCATTACAGAATGGGGACCTCATTTGCTTCACTGACAGATGCAGGAGGTGAAAGTGATCCAACGTTTGGAGCTAGAAAACCTCCAGCAGGTACCTGCAGATTAACTAAATCTGAGTTTTGAGAAGAGGTGCAAGACCACCTTGGCACTATCATGCATTTAGTTTAGAAATACACTTCAAATATGAGGTGAATGTTTTGAAAAGAGGCTGTGTTATTTAATTCTGTTTTCCACAATTGGATTTTCAGGAATTTCCATTTCGCTGAAAGTTACAGCCATGTTCTGCACCGGGATTGACCAACTAACATGAGGGAGGGTGAGCAAATCTCTGAGAATGGAAGCAGTCGTTAAAACAAAGCAGGAAGATAAATGCCAATGAACGCATAGAGCCCTGTGAAATCAGTGGCAGGCTAAGATGAGTTTGGGGACTAGAGATTAATAATATGGGAATAAAACTTCTGTTTGAATCATTACAGCTGCTGGCACTTAGACTGACAGCAACTGGTTTCTTTTTGAGCAGGAGAAAAAGCTCAGAGAACAAGAAATCTACCTGGCATGTTTTGAAATTAGGGGGGAAAGCCTGCTTTCTTCTCACACATCCAAAATGAAAATAAAATTCTCTTTGGGTATTTTGCAAAGGGAGCTTATGTCAGCACAGCAGTTATCTGTTGAAACCAGCAGATTAAACTGTTATTCCTTCCCTCTCTGTCTTGCTGTCACTCTGAAACTATAGGAAGATGACTATAGGAAGATGGTGCAGAAGGGGTTTCTGTGCTCCACAGACTTTATTGGTGCCCTGGGTGTCCAGCCAAGGTCTGAAGAGATCATGGTGTGACTTCTTCCAGTGCTCCTTCCTCATAGAAATGAGGACATGTGGTAAGGAAGAGCTCGTCTCTCACCTGAGTCAGAAGGCAGCTATAGCACAGAAGGAATGGAGCTGGCAAGCCCATACTAGACTTCAGAGGCACTCCTGCTAAACTTCTTCATTACTGATGCATCTCAACAAATATGTCTGCTTCAGGAAACCAGCACATTTGCTTTTTGTTTTTAAAGACACAATTTGTATTAAAAACACAATGAACCCTTCTGCTAAATCCATACTGTAAGAGCTTTATGTGGAAGTGTAGAAATCCACAGAACCTGGCAACAATCTTTCACTTAAACCTTCAAGAAAAATTTAGTAAACATTAATTTATTAAACATGTTACAACATAACACTACATAAAGTTTTGTTCTTTAGTCTTATTCTTAGCATTATATTACCTTATCCAGTGCAAAGGTTATGCAGAAAAAGTTATGTAGTGTTACATTTAGGAAATAGAAAGAAATTCCCAAATTCATCATATTTGGGAAGTCACTGTGGTGACTCATACTATTTTCAGTTGGTTACTAGAAACTCAGAAATTAGCTAAAAAAAAAAAAAGTAAAAAACTATTAACTTCATAAGCTAAGAGTTGTATAAGAGAAGCCCACCAAAATGAAAACTTCTGATTGTATCAATGTAGAAATAGAGAGATTAGATCACTTATAGAATCTCTAGTCGGCTTCTTTAAAGTTGGTCTAGAGGCAAATGTAGTCTCAGATAGCATTTCTTGTCTCTTATATGGTTTTCCACCATTTCATTAAAGACTAGAAGAAAATGAAGAGAAATAATATGCATTAATGCCTCCCTGCTCATATGCACACAATTATAATATTTAGGTTATCTAATTTCATGTATTCAGTTCTTAATTCTGTTTTAGCTGTTAAAAAGCACTTTAATATGGAGGAAAAAAATTGGGAAGGCTGACTTCTTTTCACCTCTTTCCAACATATTACCTGCAAGATCTTTTAATATGTGTGTATATATATATATTTCTACTCTTACTTGGAGGACCTTCACATCACAATAGAGTTAGTGAACATTCTCAGGTTGTTTTATAGTTTTATAGTTTGAGCTTCCCTTTGGCTCAAACCAAACTGTCATAGCAATAGGAACACACATGTGAAGGAAGGAGCACATCTGCATGTGTGAAGGCAACCAAATAATATTATTGCACTTTGAAAATGTCAGCATGCTACAGCTCACTGAAGATTGCTACAGTCTTGAAGAGCCCTGCCTTTTTTAGGTGACAGATATAGCCTTCTGCTCTATTTACATATGCTTTGGGTTTGTAGATATTTTTTGTTTTCTCTTATGTAAGATTTCTAAACATTAAGCCTTTTTGCACAGGGCATTGGCACTCTGGAGAATTTTGACTTTGAAACTCTAGTACATGCAAGTGTTTAAGATAAATGGAGGTTTGAACTGAACTGTCTTTCTGTTTGTTCCAAAATGAAGACTAATATACAAAGATGCAGTAGGCAGAATAATTTTGTGCTGAGCTAGGTTTAACACTAGATGATTCTGTGCTGAATAAATAGCAGTTCACTGAATTTTCAAATGGCTGTGTGGAGTTTGCTTCCATATTTGCTTCTATATTACATGCAATTACCTTAGGTATTTTTTAGTTTTTCTTTTTGCTTGAGCAGTTAAACTATATTCAGCACTTAGTAGGAGATGTTTTCTATACACACCACATGAGGAATTCCTTCTTGGATTACTGACAGTGGATTTCCTGATCTTTTTTGAAAGCTCTCACCTATTTCGTGTTAGTTATCTACTAGCAAGATAAGAAATACTACTGCAGTTGTTAGCAAGTTCAGGTGCCTTCTTTATAATTTGCAATGATGTAATGATTATCCATCTGCCCAGATGGTGACTGTAATTTCCTTACTCATATCAATGGGCTGTTATTCACATGAGTAATCTCACCGACTCGAGGTGTATTGCTTTTGTAGCTAACTGTTCCCTCATGGAAAGCCTGCTAATATGTTCTGTAGCAAAACACAGTTAAAAGGCAGCATCATAATGCAGACCTGTAACTTTCTGTTCTCCCTCATGAGCATCTAGGTAGGAGGCCTAAGAGGGCTGAACACCAAATGATAAAGCCTACTTAGCTAATTCATGTTGACCTGAAGTTATGCAGGATTTGCCTCACAGTAGAACTAACATCAATAGTAATTTATTTGCATTGAGGTAATACAAGGTAAATTTATGTATTTTTACATTCTGATTAACAGAAATATCATAATTTCTTCAGATGCTAATTAATGCCTTTCTTGTTCTAAGCAGGACTGTAAAATGGATTTAGGATTCAAAGACCGTAACAACAGCACACATACCAAGAACACCTCTGCTGCAACAAAGAATTTTTCTGCCTGGGAAGACTATAAGAGTAGTGTTGATGACATGCAGTACTTCCTTATTGGGCTGTACACACTTATAAGTTTGGCTGGCTTTCTGGGAAATCTGCTTATACTAATGGCCCTATTAAAGGGCAAGCAGAAGACAGTAATAAACATTCTCATTGGAAACTTGGCCTTTTCTGACATCTTGGTTGTGCTGTTTTGTTCACCTTTCACGCTGACATCCGTCCTGCTTGACCAATGGATGTTTGGCACTGTCATGTGCCATGTAATGCCCTTCCTCCAGTGTGCCTCAGTCCTAGTTTCAACTTTGATGTTAATATCTATTGCTGCAGTCAGGTACCGTATGATAAAGTATCCCCTCTCCAGCAATCTCACAGCAAAACAAGGCTATTTCTTAATAGTGATCATTTGGGCCTTTGGCTTCACAATTTGCTCCCCTCTGCCAGTTTTCCATAAAACCGTGGACCTCAGCAAAACTCTGAATTTAGAGGGGCTGGAGAACAGGCTGCTGTGCATTGAGTCATGGCCTTCTGATTCCTACAGGATTGCCTTCACGATAGCCTTGCTGTTCATGCAGTACATCCTGCCGCTGGCGTGCCTGACCGCCAGTCACACCAGTGTCTGCAGGAGCATAGGTGCTAGGCTGGCAAACAAGGAAAACAAGTTTGAAGAAAAGGAGATGATAAACCTAACTCTTCATCCCTCTAAGAGCACTGGCACACAGGTTCAACCCTCCAGATATTCCAGGTGGAGCTGTGCCTTTGGCAGAAGGCACCACAGAAGATACAGTAGAAAGACTTCAAGTGTGATGCCAGCTATTTCAAGGCATCATCAGGATACTCATTCCAGAGATCTCCCAGAAACCTCTGACACAGAAAAAAGCCAACTTTTTTCCTCCAGTAAATTCATCCCTGGGATCCCTATCTGTTTTGAAATGAAACCAGAAGAAAATACAGAGATCCAGAACATGATTACAGTATCCCAGTCCATCATCAGAATTAAGACAAGATCGAGGAGGGTTTTTTGCAGACTGACAGTGCTAATACTAGTTTTTGGCTTCAGCTGGATGCCTCTTCACCTTTTCCACATTGTCACAGATTTTAATGCTACTCTTATTTCCAACAGGCACTTTAAATTAGTATATTGCATATGCCATTTGTTGGGTATGATGTCCTGCTGCTTGAATCCCATTCTCTATGGGTTTCTTAACAACAGCATAAAAGCTGATTTAATGTCCCTTATTCCATGCTGCCAAATACCATGATTTTATGTGCCCCAAGATAAAGTAAAACAAACAAATATGGCTTTCAAGCCTAGTGGCGTGTGTAGCTGTAAAAGCTAAATTAGTTTAGTTTAGTTTATGTGACTTGTTTGTGATTAGCAGCATTTTTTTGTGGATGGAAAGTTCTATGGCTGCATGTATTTCTTGCATTGGGCAGAAATATATGCATATGTTATAATATTCTTTTATCTGTTACATGTAGGAAATCATGCCCAGTGTACAAAACCAGAATACCATTTTCATCACCCAAATTGTTGGCAACCTGTACTTTGGAATTATACAGAATATATAATGAGTAATAAATGTGAGACAGACTACTTAGATATATCAGTATTAACTATCATAAAACTATAATAAAATACATATCATTTACTAAATAATTATTGTTGAGATTATTTCAGTGCCAACTTTGACTGTTTTTGAATATAATTAAATCTCTCTTTCTGGATGTTATTAAGAAAATATTTTTCCTTAGCTCTTTGACTCATAGTTTGCAATGTCTTTACAAGATGGTTTGCTGCTTATTCCTAGATTGCCTTATTACTAGGTTCCCTGGAACAGGTTGGAGGGTCGTTGTTCTTGCCTTGATTCTTTCCATCTCACTGTATTTATCCAATACAACCTATCTCAAATTTCCTCAGCCAATTTTCACTCTGGTTTGTCATTTTATGTAATTTTCATCCAGCCTGAATTTGTCTATAGTTATGTCTTTATTCTCTTTATGACACCCCTGAACATACCATACATTTCTGACCAGAGTAAGCCTTCGTTATCTAAGCAAATGATAGCAGAAAGAAAAAGAAAATGGAAAGACATCAGGAATTTTTTTCTTCCTTTACCAAAATGCAAAAGCTTACTGCACTTCATTTTAACTCATCCTCTTGCTTTGGAAAGGTATAACAGCTTTCAAATAAACATCTGCATGTGTGCCTTGACAGATGCAGGGGGAGGAGCAGAGTGGATTTATTTTAAATTCAACAAAGGCAAGTGTAGGGTCCTGCCCCTGGGGAGGAATAACTTGTCCCTGCACTAGGACAGGCTGGGGTGACCTGCTGAAAGCAGCTCTGCAGAGAAGGGCCTGGGGGTCCTGGTGGACACCAAGCTGTCCACGAGCCAGCAGTGTCCTTGTGGCCAAGAGGCCAACAGCATCCTGGAGTGCATTAGGAAGAACATTCCAGGTGGTCAAGGGAGGTGTTCCTGCCCCTCTGCTCAGCTCTGGTGAGGCCACATCCAGAGTGCTGTGTCCAGTTCTGGGCACCTAAGGACAAAAGAGACATGGAGTGTGTGGAATGGATCCAGTGGAGCACAACAAAAATGATGACCAGACTGGAGCATCTCTCTTACGAGAACAGGCTGAGGTGGCTGGGCCTGTTCAGCTTCAAAAAAAGACAACTGAGATAGGCTGGATCAGATGTGACACACTGTGGTCCCTTCCAACCTGACCCATTCTGTCATTCTATGTGTGTAAACATGTGTGCAAACACACAAATACACACACACATTTTCTGCATCTCTTCTCTCTCCTTTTTAACCAGAACAGTACTTTTCCTTTCAAATTTAAATCACAGGTATCTTCCCTAAGTCATATGATATTTCACAGCACAAATGCTAAGTGTATATATATATATATATACATATACTTACCTGCCTCAGACTAATTTAATAATCCAATTCTGCCCTCAGGATTCAGTAAATATACAAGTTTTGCTTTGAGTTTTAAGCTGTAACACCTCTCCCCAGTTATAGCTGATGATTATTTTCTTTTTTCCACTAAGATTTTTTATCCAATAGACTTTTGTATATAGCTTCTACAAAAGTTATCATTTTTATAAATGAGTGGTTTGAAACAGTCATTGTGCACTTTTTTCCCCTCAAGAAACATCCTTTCCAGATAGTCTTTCAAGTGAAAACAGTTCTTTTGTTTTGAAGAATCATCAACTTATTTTTTATCATGGTGTTATAATTCTGAGATGCTTCCTCCCCAAGCCATTATCTGCTAAGGAGTTTATTATATGCCAGTGGGTAATAGTTTCTCTCCTTAAAGAATTTTTCTAATATCTAGTTCTCAGTAACCCATTGTTCTTTGCTTTCAGTAGTGATATACTTTAATAGTTTCTTCCTGGACATTGACTATTGCATTTTGCAGATTACTATCTTCTAAAGTCCTATAATATGTCACTTTATAATAGAGTACAAATGGTCAGAATAGATACTGCTGGAACAATAGATATTAAAATAGCTTTTAAAATATTTTAAATACTTTAAAAATATTTATGACTAATCTTATTATATAAACTTAGGAAAAAGTTAACTAAATCTATAGTCAGAACACAATTACATAGTCCTACAGAAGTAACTGTAGCTTTTACCTTCTTTCTGTCCACAAATTTTTGCATCATTGTAATATATAATCTTATTTATACCATGTGATATAGCCAGATAGTATAAAATGATAAGAAAGCAGTCATATTGTTTCAGCTAGAAATATTCCTTCTGACTTAATTTTTTTTCAATTTACTGTTATCTTCCTTCCTACTTGCTGATTATTTTCTATTCCTTCCATTCTTTCAGAATTTCAATTATATTTAACTCCTACATTGCCAATTGTTATTTCTATATAAATTAAATGTTTTAGTATTTTAGTAATATTCTTTCCATAGCAAATTCTACTCTGTATGGCAAAGAAAATCATGCTAGGACTGTAACAAGGCCTTCCTCCAGTTTCTGAGTTGCACAAAGATTAGTGTACACTGCAGATTTTATATTTATATCTGTTTGCCTGGATGAAGTCAATAACTGTGCTCCCTACTCTTTACACTGATCAAAGAACAACAAATTGTAATTTGGCAATAGAGAATTAAATCAATACAGCTATTGAACTTCTTTAGTCCTGTGCCATATAAATCTGTCATCTTGTTTTAAAGCAATAGTGGGAGAATGTGTATTTTCTTTATTTATAAAGCCATCATTAGCATTCCATTTGGAAATTTCCAAAATATCCTCGTCTTTCCTCTGAAATGTTAAATAAAAATAAAACAATTTTTCTACCTTCCACTCTTCTTCAACAGCCAGTGTAGCTTGATCCCAGTAGCAGCAAGGAATACATATGAATCAGACAGGAGCAGTAGCAAGTGAAATCAGGTATTAGGCATTTCCCAAAGGGGTGACTTCTATGAAAGGGATAAGAAACAACTGAACCATCCATTAAACATTTTCCCAGTCCTGAATATTAAAAAAAAAATTATAAACACAAGGATATTTTCATTGTGCTCTTTTCCCTGCTTCTTTATTAGGCCTTGTCTAAGCTGCAGTAAATGCAGCTTCATGCCCAACAATGACTGGCAGTGTGGTGTTGTTTCCAATATGTGTTGAAAAAAATGTTATCTCGCCACAATATCCAATGACATTTTATCATTCTTACATGTAGACAGATATATGTGCAGGTACAGATATAGATAATGCACATTTCCTAAAAAACAAAGCACATTAAAATGGTTTTTCAAGTAGCACATATAACCAAGTCCTTTTGTTAGCTAAAGTCTACCCCTTCTGTGACTAAAAATCTAAATAAATGGAAAGATAGGAGTTTTGTTTTGATAGCATCCACTAAATGCAATCAGGAAACAGCAGCTGCAGAGCCATATATCCATTGGAGTTCGAAGAATGGATTGTAATGGTAGAGTAATTCCTCTCTATTAATTAAAAAAAAAAAAAAAAAAAAAAAGGCTTTCAGACAGCTGGTCTTTGTGTATGATGAATGTTAGAATTCTTAGGAAGACTCACATAACATAAATTGGTTTTTCTAGTTCTATAAAATATTATTTACAGAGTTGACTTTTTGAAAATGCCAAAGATTAAAATTCACCTTTGCCCCTTCTCTTTCAGTGGAGAAGAAAGAGATGCCCTGGCATGTCCACGTCCCTCCTGAGCCAGCCAGGGTGGTGACCATGGCTGAGAGGAGGTCTGCACGGGCTGACACTGCAGTGAATTTAGTGAGGTTGGGGTCCCTGTGGTTCCCCGGAGTGCCGTGGCAACAGGGAGAGCTGTGCATGACTGCCATGGGTTCAGGGCAGCTGCTGCCTCAGCAGGCAGCACAGAATCCTTGCAGGGGAACTCTGACCCCAGCAGGTCAGTGGGACAGGAAAACCACATTACTGGCAGCTGGTTGTCCTGTTCTTGGAGCCTGGAAGCTCTCATGACCACATATTTCCTTCTCTAAAATATAAACACCTGAAGAAAGGGGAAAAAACAACCCATTGATCTGCAGATGTGTAAGAACCAAGAAGAGGAGTGTAGTCAGAAAGAAAAGTGTTCACTTCCAATCATGCTGAGATAGGATCCACTTCTGCTGTGCAAAAATATTAACAAATTTTAAAAACCTTCTGTTATCCATAGGGGTCTGTCAGCTATTATTGCACTTTTGGGAAAAAAAATATCAATAGATTTTCACAGTAGTCCCAATATCTTTCTGCAGCATGCAAGACAAACAGTATTAAAATCATGGTCTCCAGAAAGAGAGCTTTCAGAAATACTGTTGAGTCCAGGAATTTACCATTTTATTTTGTTGAAAGCTAAATTATGTCTGTATTACTTGCCTTTAAAAGTCCTTGCCAGAAAATACATTATTACAATCTGAAACTGTCTTAGGGCAGTGGCAGGACTCTTGTCCTAGACAGGTTGCTTCCTTTTTCCCCCACGTGACTGGAATAATGGTATGAAATCATGAGCCTCATTATTTTAAAGACAATTAAGTAAATTTTTGAACTGTTTTTGATCATATGTGGTTTCTTGTTCTTTTATTTCATAGGGGTTTTTTTTAATATACAGTTAAATACAAACCTCTTATATTATTTTTTTCCCAGAGCCTTTTACATGCAATATGTAATGAAGACTCCTGCAGTTGCTTTGTTTTGATCCAAAAATATATAAACCTTTTCCAAAGATATATTGCTTGAAGGTTGCCCTTACACTGAGAGTAGGTAGAGCTGTTGTTAATGTTCACATTCAGTTGAAGTAACTTTTCACAGGAAGAGAAACAAAAGAAAGGGAACTAAAAGCAGATCCACACTAACACTACTTACCCACATTCTGCCAGAGACAAAGGAATGCATCAAAGCCAGACCTTTCTTAAGCACCTGCCACGACCAGTGAGTGTGTGACAGTACCACTGAGCATTAGTAATACCACAGGTGATCAGAAGCTTATGATAAATTTTTGAATCTCAGGAAGTAACAGCTAATAAGTGAGTATGGGTTTAAATGCCTTCCAAATTACCCCTCTCAAAATCTTCCTTTAACACAAAAGCATTTTCTTCCCAACCATTTTATAAAGATAGGTTTGCTGAGATCACTCAGAGTACATCATGCTGTGCCATTAAGACAATCTGTGTCATCATACTAGAGCATACACTTGTGCCAGTGAATCTTTCCACAGCATCTATTTTTAAATCTCTCAAGCCCAGGGATACTAGAAATATGTGCTCTACCAGGTTACCATGATTTCCTGGCCCCCTTATCAAACTTCATCTCAGTTAAAAAAAAAAAAAAAAAAAAAGCCTGATACAGCTTGTCCTTGGTAAAAAGTCTTAAATCCCAATTTCCTCAGAAGACTATAACTGCAGGCAGGAAGATGTGGTCACAGTGTGTTTTTAAGAGCCGAGCAATGAATTAAGGTCACAACTGGCACCATTGTTATGAAGCTAATAGAGCTATACAAGTCAGAATTTTATTAATCTTGTTTCCTTTTGAAGAGAAAATACTGTAATAATTTTTAAAGTTATTAAATTACTTCATTACACGCTAATCTTAAGAAATATCGTAAAACAAAATATTGCTACAATCCAAATTCAGTTCATTTGAACAAGTATGAATGCTTCATTTTACCCTTGTAGTCACATTAAGGTGATCCTTTTAATAATAAGGCTTAAAAGTAATCCTCTGGGAAGTTATTAGAATAGTGATTTGACATTTGAGACTAAAGTAAGTTGGCCCTGCTCTTACATCCAGTTCATCAAATACTTCCTTTGTCTCAGCAGGAGAAGGGTCATTTCTGTATCACGTGGAGATTAATGGGACATTTTTCAAGCACTAAACATTTATTAATGTCCCTGGGAACAAAATTATTTTAAAGACACTTTGGTGCAAAATTTCTCGAGAGGAGTAACTTTGTGATACTCAAGCAGTTGTTCATCTCTTCAGACTCAGTTGGAACCACAAAGATGCAAAACCCATTTTATGACAGACCCCAAGACTGTTAACAATAAGTTTAACTATAAATCTATTTGGGTTTGGGTTTGGGGTTTTTTTTTTGTTGAGAGAAAAACAGATAAACTAGGAGACAAATAAAACCATCCCTACTACAAGTAATTTTAGGGCCTCTTTCTACCAGATTTTCATCTGATTTTCATCCAGATTTTCTTATGTTGAACAAGGTGGTAATCATACTCTGTTTTAACTCCTAGTAATTTCCTTGGATGTATGACGCTTTCCACCAAATTTGGATTCACTTAGCATTCATAAGGATTTTGACCTCTTGGCCAAAGCATTAAGACGCTGCACAAGAGGTCAGAATATAAGCTAATTTTTATTTTCTGCTGGTTTTGTGTTGGTTTTTGTTTCTTTTTTCTTTTCTTTTCTTTTCTTGTTTGGGATGTTAGCACAACTGGGAAAAGTGCAAGTTGTTTACTGCAGGAAAATTAAACTTATTTTTATGTAACTACTGGGACCAAAACCAGGCAAAACAATTATGTATTTCTTAAGACTCCATCAGTTCCAAGGCACAGCTCATAAAGGTAATTGTCTGAAGCCTCGATGATACATTCTTTCAATTAATATCCTGGAGTATGAGAACACATTTCAGATAGCACAGCCTCATCTGATCCTCACTGCACATCACAACGGGTGAAACATCATTCCTTCTGCAGAACTAAATTGCAATATGCTCTACTTGAGATTGCTCCTTAAGACCATTCAGGGACTGAAGCTTATTCAGGGCACAGCTTGTATCTTACTGTTTTTGTGGGATTCAGTTCCTCAGAAAAGCTGCTGCAAGGCCCTTTATGTCAGAAAAATTAGTTAGTTCCCAGGAGCTCTCAGGAGCATGTAACACCAATCTCCCCCTCACACATCATCACACCTGCAGTCAGCAGGGGCCCTCAAATGTTGTTCCTTTCATAGAAGAGATGGATGAAAAAAGCAGTGAATGAGACTGAAAACTCTGTGGTACTTGTTTTTCCTCTTGATCTGAAATAGTCTAAAATTGGAGACCTTCCAGAAAGTTGTGGAAGACACCTGTGTGAGACTCCTAGAGAGGGAACAAGGAATCACTTCACAGAGATAAAGTGGAATGAAGAAATCTGTCTGTGCAGGACTAGATAATTACTTCAACACATCCAGGATCCTAGAGTCTTGCTAATTGCATGGGAAAATAATAATAATAATAAAGTAGTTATTTGCATATGCAGATTTGATTATTTTAAGATAAACTTATTGTAAGTCCTTGGAGTCTTATATATCATACATATATACCTGACATGTGCTCTAACCAAAGCAACTTCACCTTGTAACACAGCTCCAGAACCAAACTACCCTGTGCTTTTAAGCTATTCACTCATTTTTTATTGTACCATGTAGAGGTTTAATTCCAGCCAGCAGCCAAGTACCACACGGCTGCTGCTCATTCCCATACCAGTGGAACTGGGGAGAAAATCTGAAGGGTAGAAGGTAGAAAACTCACAGGCAGAGATGAAGACCGTTAAATAGGGAAAACACAAGCCACACACACAAGCAAAGCAAAACAAGGAATGAATTCACTGCTTCCCATGGCAGGCAGGTGTTCAGCCATCCCCAGGAGAGCAGGGCCCCACCATGTGTGTCAGTGATTTGGGAAGACAAGCACCATCACTCAAAATATTTCCTGCTTCCTCCTTCCCCCTCACTTTACACACTGAGCATGATGCCATTTGGTGTGGAATATCTCTTTGGTCAGTTGGGGTCACCTGTCCTGGCTGTGTCTCCTCCCAACCTCCCATACACCCCCAGTGTGGCTGTACAAAAAGCAGAAATAGCCTTGGCTCTGTGCAACCCCTGCTCAGTAAGAACAAGAACATCTCTATGTCATCAACTCTGATCAGCACAAATCCAAAACACAGCCCCATACCAGCCACTGGGAAAAAAATTGACTCTACCCCAGCCAAATCCAGCACATTCCATTACATGGCACAACAATCAGGTCTCATCCTGATTAAAGATTCTGTTGAATTACTACCATGAAAATTATCCAATAGAAAAAAAAATTTTACATCTGTCAAAATGAGAGGTTGATTAAATCAAGATATTCCTAAAAGCTATGGGAGTACTAGAATTTATTGGCACTTGTTCAAATACCTGAAAGGTAAAGGTTTGTTTTCCATACTTTGGTGCTTGTTTTTGCTGAAATACAACTTCCAGACTGTGTTCTTAAGTAGGAACATTGACAAAAGACGAAGTTATACTAAGAATTTAATGACCAACAAAAACAAGACACACCAAAAAAACCCCCAAAACCCGGGTAAAAAAAAAAACCAAAAAAAAAACCCAAACCAAAAACCAACCAACCAAGCAAGCAAACAAAAAGCCCAGAAAAACCCCAAACAACCCAGACTGGAGAAGTCTTTCATGTAAAGAACACAAAATAAACAGATAATGGTTTGTTTTCTTTGGTTATAATACTTACTTCAAGCACTATAGCAAACTGATTTCTTCTTTCCCTGCATGAATTTCATGAGATAAGGCTTACAGTAAGCCCATAATTTATAATGGTAAACAAGAACTAAAAAACAGAGTTCATTCACCTATTGCTAGAAATGCAAATAACCTTGCTGTTGATTGTTTGCAGCAGAAATAAAGACAGCATCTGTTACTCTGTTTATGCAATAGCATTTGTATAAAGATTTTATACATTCATTTTTAACAAATAATAGGTATAGCAAGAGGATTCACAGCCAGGCTGATTCTATGTTTGGATCACTTTTTATTCTTCATGATACATAATGTTATTTGAAGGATGGCAAAAAAGTAATAAACAATATGAAAAAAAAAATCCTGTTTCCTCACTGAAACACTAACTTCTATTTTCATAACACTGTTTAAACCACACTAAGCACCCCAAAAGGAAGAGTCTTCACACATCTGTGAGATTTCCTTGGCGAAGCCAATAGCAGTGTTAATCTGCATGTTGGTGGTGCTATACAAAAAGTTGAATTCTGTAGTATTTTAGTGCTGTTTAAGAACAGCCTTACTAAGGAAGAAATACAGCTAAGCTGCAACAGCATCCTTATTTTTCATCTTTTGTTAAAAAAATGCACTTAAGTATAATCAGCCTTATTTATTTATTTTAGATTAACATTTATAGTATCTATAGCACACTGGTGGACATAACCTGATCTGAGCATGTCTTTCATGATTTTTTCTGTAGCTTCACCTTCTGGTGTTTCTGCTCCCAAGCTCAGTAATAACAGAAGACTGTGAGAGCCCTCTCCTGGTGGACAAAATTTATCTCCCTCCAGCTGCTGCTTGCCAGACAAAGATTCTGAGGCAGATACTGCAGCTGTAAAAGAATATAATGCTTATAATGTACTCTTAAGGATTTTTTATTTATTAATACTTTTCTTAAGTTAAAAGACACAAAACAAAGCTTTATTTTCCAAATACCACCTTATAAAGTAAAGCAGAAAGCCAAGGAAAATACTCCTCAAAAAACTTCTATCTGCAAAGAAATACTACCTTAACTATACTTGCACACCAGTACAAATTTTGCTTGGCTAAGGCTGACACCTATCTGGAATGTTTTAAATAAAACTTATTTAAAGATTTTTTTGTTAGTGATAGGTATTGAGAAGGTTGTGTGCACAGAGTCATTCTGCAGGCAGGGAATGAATGAGTGAGCAAAGTCTGAAAACCCCGAGGCATCTAAAGGGAGCCCTGGGATCCTCTGAGATGGGAGTGGACAGGAAGGCTCTAGGCAGGAGCACATTTTTTTCTCCTGTGTAACCAACCGGAGACAGCCTGTGCTGGGTGCACAAACTACCAAAACTGAATCTTCTACCAAAACTGAATCTTTTTCTAGGCATTCCCCTTCACTCCTAGAACATGTATGAGTCAGTCTGCCCACATTATTCAGAAAGGGGAGGAGCATATATTAGACACAATATCCTTTCCCTGTCTATAGCTGCTGTTATTAAATTTTGCACTTTCCTTAATACCTGTATTTATAACATGAATTTGGCTTATTCTCCTGCTGTGCTCTCCCCTTCCCTGTAGCAATTTAGGTTGAAACACTACCTCTTTCACTTGCACTTCTGCTTATCTTAGTCTGATTTACTGTATTAATTTTAAGGATGCTGTGTCTCTCTATTCCATGACTTTTGAGGCCTCAGAAGAATTTTAAGTTCCAACAACTTTAAGTTCAAATCAGACTAAGTCAAGGAACTACCAGACATGCTTGGGTCCAACTTACTGTCTAGGTAGCATATCAGTTCAGAGGCAAAGATAGTTTAAGTAATATTAACACAATAAGAGTGCACACATGCTTAAAACAAAGCTTAGGAGCTTTGAGACTTTTGAGCTTCAGAATATACAGAGGCAACAAACACCCTTCCATTGTTGTGGGAGCGAAGCATTAGAGCTGTGATCTCACCCCCCTGTCTTTGGGAGCAGAAAACTCCACACAGCAGTTTCCCAAGTGTTTTTTCTGGGGAGCAATGATGGCCAAGGCAGCCTAAAATGAACTCACTGATCATCTGCATCAAAGTCATCTCAGCTGAAAGCCAAGCTTTATCCAGATTGAAAGCAACCAAGAGAGGATTATGGGCCTGTTTTTCTGGGTACTAGCATAAATTGTGTTGCCTTATCTGAAGAGCTTGCATGGAGATGGCAGAGGTTGGCTGTGTAGCAACTGCTAGTGGAAGAAATGCTCAGAAAACAAGGAGTTTAATATATGTACTTTGCTCTTAATATTGACACGTGGCTGGTTAAGGTGTGGTGTGAAGTCAGTGTAGCGAGTCAGAAAAACTGTACACACTGAAATTATTACACACTGGATAACTTTTATGATAGCTAATTTTCAGTCAGTTATAAAAACAAGTGTTTCACAATGTAAATTTTTCTGCTTGAAAAGGGAAGTTCTATTTTTTAGCTAGCACACAGTTGTTTTCCTCAGCAAGAAGGAAAACATGAGCAGTGAGTTATTATGTGAAAGACCCTTCCATGATTTCAGAGACCAACACTGCCAGTTCGGCTAGCACTGCTATCTCTTGTAGAGGTTAAAGAGCTGAAATGCAGTAAGCCCTCCTTATTAAAAAGACATGCTTTTATATAAATATGTAGCTTAGATTCCCATTTCACATGATCTAATACAAGAGCTCATCTCCTCTGTTTTTTTTACAGCAACAAAGCACATTAACCCTGCTATTTCTAGCTTCAGCTATAAGGTAGAATCCAGGGTAGCAACAAGACATAAGTGTCAACTGGAAGATTCAAACTGACAGCTAGGAAAATATTTTTGTATGAAACAACTTCAAGATGACTTTTTGTTTCATTTTTCACTGCCCTTTTTTTTTTTTTTTTTTTTTTCTGTCCTAGTATTTTCATTAAATAAACAAATATATTTTGGTCTTTGAAATTATGTTTTATTAAGGTTAAGCTCAAATGACACCAGTGGGTAGAGGGCTCATTGCTTGTCTGGAAATTAATAGCTGCAGTGAAATGCTGTACGAAGCAAACCACCTCAGAGCATTTGTACTCTGAAATGGAAACTGGGACATGTATTGTGCAAAGCTAAAAAGATCAGTCTGAGAACTTATATCACTAAGTGAGAGAACTTAAGAACTTGCTCTCAGCCATTGACCAGCCTTGCTGTATCAAAAAAGTAACACACAGGTCAATTAAAATACTGAATAATTTCAAAATTATCATAGGAGCCCTGAGGACCCTAAATTAATACACCTAAGTTAGTGCAAGTTTTCAGAAGTAAATGCTCTGCAGACAGCTCTGTAATCAGGGGCAAAAGAAACCATAGAAAAACCTCAAAGAAGAAAGATGTTTCTTACTGACCTCCATTCAGGAGCTGAGAAGAAAGAGGAGGGCTCTGCTGACTGCCACTTGCTTTTTTGGAGCTGCTCTTACACTCCTGACTCACATGCTTCACAAGAGGGTAAAGCAGGGTGCACATGTTAACTTTCATTTTTCCACTTTTTTGAGGCTCTGGAGAAGTTTTGTCCCTCTCTCTCTCCGTTGCTCTACTACATCCAAGCAGAAATACCTGGGAGCACTTTCAGGTCCTTCTTGCTATGTCCCCCACACTAGACTGCAAGAGCCAGGCATGAAAGGTGATAGAGGATAACAGGAGAACAAGACACAAGATATGACTCCTCAGATACCTAATGTACCAGTTCTAAGTACAGCCAAGAAACCTAGTTCCAATCCAATTTATTTAATCTAGTAAAATTATCTTGGGTAAGTCAGTGGAACCACCAGCTCACCTAGTTAGCAAATAGAGAAAAAAAAAAAAGGAAAAAAGTGACTTAGTTCCTTCTTTAATTCAGTAAAGGCATAACTATCTCATTCAGTAAACTAATGAGGTGTGCTATTCCAGATGAGATTATATGAGATGATTATTTTTAATCAATTAAGGTGTGGCAAATATTGTGCCATGTAGTCCTTTAAATGAATGGTATACTTTCATCTACAGTCACATGGATCATGCTAATCATCTGCATTTATACAGAGCAGAAGAGAAGATGATCTCTAGTTAATAAATACATTACTAATGAAAAAGGTAAGTTGGTGAACTGCATAAAAAGACAGTGTTAATGAAAAGTTAGTAGAAACCCCTAGTTATCCCTTTGAATGACACCTACAGAAACGGGCTCTTACTTAAACAGAAACTGCAGACTGTAAAGGGACACTATAAATACAACACAAAATTAAGTAAATTTATTGTCAAAAGTATTGCAAAGGTCAAAATCTTTGTGAACTGCATCACTTAATGACAACACAAACTTTTAAACAAAGCCTTTTTACACCTGCTAAGTGATAAAAGCACTTAATAATGAGATCACAGGCTCAGTTGTAAATTAGTTAAAAAAAAAACCAAACAATGCATGAATAAAGTATTCTCTGACTGCCACTTGGAAGTTCTAAGCCTCACCAGTCCCTGGTCTGATCCATTTATAAATGACTACAAAATTCCACCTGAACAGCTGAAGTTTTAAGAAAACACATGTTACAAAAATCCCTCACCAAG